GCGGTGCGGGTCGGGGGTTGGGGGCGGGGGGGGGGGAGTCAGGGAACAAGGAGCAGGGAGGCTTAGATGGGGTGGGGTTCTGGGGGGCAGTTAGGGGCAGGGGTCCCAGGAGGGGGCAGTCAGGGGACAAGGAGCAGGGGGAGGGCTGGAAGTTCTGAGGGGGGCGGGAAGTGGGAGGGAGTGGAAGGGGCAGGGGCGGGGCTAGGGCAGGATGGGGGCGGGGCTCCTCCCGTCCTCTTTTTTGCTTGCTGAAATACGGTAATCCCACTCCAGTATAAAGTTTCTGCTTATCCTGCCAAGCACTAACGTGGAATCTCATTAATTCCTACATATCAGTGTTCATTTTCAAATAACGTGTGACCAATTTTTGGTTTCACTTTTCTTCATATTTTATGTCCGAATGACATTTCTGTTTAGCAATACAGTGTAGATTTCCATGCTGCAGCAGTGAGTGTCTAAATGGGCTTGTAGAGAGGTTTCTTCTATCCCCCGCAGCAACCTCATTGCTGTGTCTTTGTGATCCAGAGCTGAGAGTAGCATGATTTGCTAGAATTTGGGGGGTGTCAGTCACACAGGTACCAGGAATCCCTTGTCTTGCAGTGAGAAGAAAACTATGGTCTCCATTGTGGCTTGCAGAGTGTCTCGGGGGACTTGAGTGTTATGTCTTAATTATCCTCATCTGACTGGGGATAATCTGACCCCACACCAGGTGCCTGGCTTTAGTTATGACCTACCACCACCAAACTGGGATGGGGGCAGGTACACTCATGCACCTGAATTGCATATCATCCACTCACCTAATTACAACAAGATTTACATCATACCAGAATTCTGCCAGTCCATTAACATTCCTCTTTAAGAAACTTGTTGAATCACAGTAAACAGCAACCTGAAGAGCATGCAAACAGCATGAAGGTAAAAAGATACAAACTTGCCCAACAAGATTTAACTTATAATTCAAAATAAAAACATTAGAAAAAGTTACCGTATATGTGGGGGAGTGAGTTGTCCAACATGCTGCAAGTGCTCATGTAATGAGATGTTAAATCACTCCCACTCCCCAAAGGATCAAAATGTACAGGTGAGCTCTACTTGTTCCCTTTTGAACAAAATACTTAATCTATTTAACAATACAATGAAAAGAAAAATTCTATTTCTACAGAGAAGTAGCTGGGTAATTCTGCTGCTGCTCTATCTGGTTTATAGTTTTATAGCTTCTGTAACTGATGAATAAAATGACTCCTTGTTAGAATAACTGCTACTCTAATGGCATTTACTGTGAGCCAACTTCAGTCGTGATTACCACCTCTGCAGCCCCTCTAAAGTACCTGTAGTTGCAAACAAAGGCAGAATTTGGCCTGTGCCTTCTTGTCTAAGGCTAATTGAATGAATAGGCTGTGTCCTGCCCATGATACAGCCCTTCTGTGCTGCTCTGTCACTGCAAAGTGTCCGTAAAGGCAGTTTAACCAGGTACCTAGGGATCCCCCCCAGCTCTCTCACAGCTAGTGTACGGGCTCTATGCCTTTCCCAGCCTAGCAGAGAGGGAATAGCCTGTAAAAAGTGGATGTGACTGGAGTACTCCTGTGCTCTGGCCCTTGGAACCACAGGCAGTTTAGAATAGCCTTGAAGCTGTTCAAAGTTGTGCTGGGAGCCAAACATGTCCAGGCCTTCCCCCAGGATCAGGAAGTCAAAGACAATGTAAAACTACCTCTGTTCCCTCCCCATTAGTCCTGCCTCATGCACAAATTGGCCAGATTAGAGGGTCTGGCCCAAGATGTGCAATTGTCCTGAAGGTTAATGAGGGTCCTGTGAAAGAGCCAAGGTACTCTCTGTCCTGAAGTATTTTCTGGAAATTAACATCTTCACATTGACGTAAGGTAACTCTTTTTGGGGGGAAAGGGACATGCAGGAAAGTAACTAGTTTGATACAACTTTGCTTGTCTTGTAATTTTGTCTTGATGAAACTGAACCTTTTCAGTGTTGATCCTGAACAGCTCGCCATATTTTCATATAACATTGAAAATAGCCATAAAATCAAGGCATCAAAGATAAAGTGACTTTTCTCTAATGCTCTCAACAGCACCCTTAATGCTTTTTCTATAGTTTGGGACTTTACTGTCTGACATTATGATTACAGTTTCCATGTTGTGTGTCTGGACTACAATCTGAAATCCTCTCTAGAAAAGCAAGAGGAAAAAAAAAAGGTTCTATATTTAAGGCCACTGTAGTGAGACATAATAAGAGCTTGTCCATTGGATAACTGTAGTCAAGCATTGAGGAGTTCATCATCTGAGCGCCCAATGGCATCTGGATTTGAAAGAGGATCCAAGTCTGCAAACAGACTGAACCAGGCTGACATATCTTGATTACTGCTCTCCATAGCTAGAAAAAAAATCAAATAAAATTACATTCTTTGTTGAACTGCTCTTTGACCCAACCAGATCTTTTAAGTAATAAAATATTTAAGTTGGCCATATCACATTTATTTAGTAAAATGAATTGGATAATTGCTATATGTTCTCTTTAATCAAAGACCATAAATACTGGACTAAATTATTAACTCCATTAGCACTTCAGAACAGCTTATTAAGATAATGAAGATAAATTATTAGCTTATCTACTATTCCACAGGGTGCATGCAAGCTAATTTTAAATAAATGCACTGTAAAATGGTTTGAAGTGTTACTGAAACAGAAACCTCCATTAGTAAGCCCCCAAAAAACAGTTCATAATGCAAAGATGAAAATTTAGACGCAAAATCCACTCCAACCTTTTCTCTGCCCCTTAAGCATATGCAGTACATTACTGGAGTGTGTCACTGTGGCAAATGTCAAATACCATAGTTGTTTGTTTGTGTTTGTTTTTCCTCTTGAAATATAAAAAAAATGATAGTTTTGTCCCTATGCCAAGTGCTTCTTAGTGCTCTGTCCTGCTGCCCATCACTCTAGTATCTGATTAGCTCATTTGGATGTTGAGAGTAGGGGAAAGAAAATAGATTTGTGCCATTTTTGGCATCTTCTGAGGCACAAAGAAGGTCTGGCTTTTTTCTAAAATAAGTTTTTGTTTTTTCTCCCTACTTATTTTTTACATGAGAAATTCAGGTCTTTTCTACCCTGTTTTTCTTGGAAGACATCATGGGCATTTGGAGAACCAGTAGAATAATGACATCACAGGTACCAAGACAGTGAGAATGCATTCCCACTTTTCCCTCCTGTGACAAGAAGGACAGACAAGTTTTCCAACAATTCACTGGGAAAAAATCATAGAGGAGCTCAGTTTAGTGAAGCACGAAACCATGGGATATGCTTCCAGAAGTCCTAGCCCCTCACCTCAGTGAGTACAGCACCAATGTGCACACAGTCAAGTGGACATAGTTGGGTAGGGCTTTGCAGTGTGACCACTCAGATCTGGGGTA